TATACAAATCACACAAAAATCACTTTTAAAATATAAATAAATAAAGATAAGAAAGATAAAAAAGATAAGAAAGAGTTTGTGTGCAGGGTGGGAGGGGGTCCATACAACAACATAGCTAAAGCAGAGCAGCTCCGGAAAAAAACAGTTACCAGCATCCAACCTACTACTGTCGCTATTAAGTTGGCTTCAAATGAGGCTTAACGTTCATACAGTTTCTCTTTACTGTCCCTCAGTGTTACAACATTAGTCCAAAATCCCCAAGCCTGAGTAGACACTTAGCAACATGCTAACACAGTTCAGCAGGCTAAATAACCAACATTAACACTAAAACAACATAAACATGGAAAAACTTACAGCTTCCAAATTTGAATTTGGGTCACAGCCAGTAACGTTATCGATCCATCGTTGAGCTCAAACCTTAGTGAGTTATTTGACATTGTGTCAGTTAGTTTGGAGCTGAGTAAATGTGCAGTAAGTTAAGCCCTGCAGTCTCCAGGCTGCCAGTTGTGAGGACGGGGGAGTTTTGACTTCCTGACTTATATGACTTATTGTCTATTAAACCATACAATTATTAAAATATTAAAACAAAACCACATTGAGTAAAATATATTTCAGTATTTATTTTCATAATCAATGTTATTTCTAACAATATAGCATACGTTAACATACCTCAAGTCTGCATATGTTCCTCCTGCCCCTGACAATAACAAATTAAGAAATGCTTTTCTCCTTAATCGATTGTCTGACCACTGAGATATGGACCAACCGACCACAAAGTGTCTACCCTAAAATCCAGAACATTAGCTGACTTAGTTATCATTATAAGCTCTGTATAATCTAAGTATAATTTCTCTACAGGGTCTTAGCACACTTTGAAAATATTCCTAAAGCAACCTTTGGTACAGTATTTCTCTGTTATCAAGAGACGTTTTTAACAGCAGCCATTTTTGCTTCACTAAATGGAAAGGAGCCTTAATTAGTATCATTGGTAACAACAGTGTTTACCCTACCCTACTGTTTCATGTCCAAATGGCTGCTGTGAAAAAGGTCTTTACTGCATATGGTGATTTTATCCAACACTAAAGTTATGGTTTTTTCTTATAGGATATAATAGACCTTTTTCAAAGCAGCCATTTTGACATGAAATAGTAGGATAAAAACAGGTGTTACCAATGATAGTAATTCCGTTCCATTCAGGTCAAACCGAGTCAGGGTGCTGCTATTGTGCATGTTGGCTCACTGGAAAGACTGTTGCACTAAATAAAACTGAATTATTATCATTGGTAACACCTGTCAAACTACTTTATATAACGTTTTCAAGTCAAAATGGCTGCTGTGTCTTGTCCAGAGTCTCTCCGGGAAAGAGATTTGTCAGCCAGTTGTCCGTCACAGTTACTGTAGTAGTCAAAGCTGAACAGACTAGGTGGAATATTAATAACACTTCCACGTGAAGATTGCTCCACCCAGCTTCTGTTACCGCGACTACATGCCGTAGTGTGGAGTATAATATAAAGTATGAGTGTGCACTTATTTGAAGTCGAAGTGTAAATAATGAATGTGTTGTTGCATTCTGAATGCAAGTCGTGCACCAGATCATATCAATCAAATTGCACATTTGGAACCATGCTGCTGCCAAGATTCAATTTAAAGACTTTCACAACAACAAAGCAAAAGTTTTAGGTATTTTCCCCAAGATGTTGAACTGTATGAACAACACTTCAAACAACAGTTCAATACACTTGAATTTTAAGAAGTGTTCCCTTTTGATGTCAATGGAGCAATTTTTGGGCTCTGACTCTTAGATTTATTCACACATTTTGAGTCCAGCAGTCTACATAAATAATAGTATTCTCAGCCTCACACCTCTTCAGCCTCGCATGAGTTTGTGTGTCCAGCCGTGTATCTGTCAGCGTCTGCTGGAACGCAGATAGATGCTGTATACACACAGACTTATTGGCCGCATATAGGCTTCATGGTGCTGCCCTCTCCATCTCCCTGACCAATCTTCAATCCGCAGCCCTTTGCTTGCAGTTTCATCCCCAAACTCATCCCCAGCAGCTGGAAAAGAGACAAATAGCCTGACAAAATGATCGATAGGGCCAAATTAAAACAAATATGGTATTTTTAAATGGATAATCAGTCACCGAAATGACTAAATGATGCCATTTTTATTGACATTTTTAGAATCTTTATTTTCCAGATATTAGATAATGAACTTCAGGTAATGAGCTTTTCTATTCCCCGAAATGAATATAAAGTATTTGGGAAACTTTGTTATTTATGTAACGTAGATGTATGGAGGTTAGAATTTGAAGCAAATTGCTTTATACACAAACACCTGAAAAATGAATAAACAAAAACTTAATAAAAATGCAGATTGTTTCCCTGCAGCTCCTTTTCTCTTCGTTCTGACGGTTAAGGCTGTATCCTCCCTTGTGCCAACACTCTCACCCACTTCCATTCTTATGCTCGATGTGTCATGCCAAAGTGCCAGACGCGGACTCTTGCATTTTTATTCTGCTGCTGTACTCCCTGTCCTTCTCGTGTCTGTCACAGTCTCCTGCTTCGTCACGAACTTCTCATCTGACTCTCTGGCTTTGCACATTTTTAGCACTTCATAAAATGAAGTGCCAGTGAGGTGTTTCTGTCTGCTGGGATTGGTCTTTCACAAGCTGATTATTGTTGAGCAGGTTGTTATTGTTTGACTAATTTTAGCAACATTTTTGAGAAGGTTGTCATATACAGATTTCATACAGCATCCTTTGGGTCTGGAAAGTATTTGAAAGTGCTTGGATTTGCAGAGCAGGAAAGAGATCCATGAAAGTGCTTGGAGTCACCAATATGCCATTTTTATACATTTGGAGAGCTGTACCAATCATGATCTACTTCCTGTCTCTCTCAATGTTTTTTTGAGGTTTTTTTATGTATAAGTTCCACAATATTTGGCATAACCATGAAGTAACAAGTATGGTTGAAAAGTGCATTTTCTTATGAGTAAACATCAGATCCAAATATGTTGATTTGTTTTGTACCAACTATTGATGACAAAAAAAAATGGTATAGTAAGGTCAGACACTAACATTCAGTAGCAATAGCTGAACCTATTGTGAACCTATTGTGACGTCACCCATTTGTTTGTGGAGTACCATTTTGAAGCCTCGAGTTTGGCATGGTGGTCATCGCTATGACAGTTTGTCGGAGCTCAGTCTCATTGGCTGTGCAGTTTCTACTTGTCCATAGAAGATAAACAGCACACTAAGAATTTAGCAAACTGTTTAATGAGCTCATAAATCAAGGGATTAGACCGCATGGTTTCGGTTTTTATTGCAGCCCATGCAGGTGCACCTGCAGGTTTAAGACACTTCCTGGTTGGCTTCTCCAGATTCTCCAGAATCTACAGATTTGTAATAGGTACAGCTACTAAATTGTACATACCCTGAAAATTCATTTTTAAAGCACGATATGTCAATAACTCAATTCCAGGAATGTAAAAATATATTGCAAAACAGTTAAATTGCGGTACAGATATGTGAAGATTTAAAACGGTGAAATAAAAAAAAACAAGCAGAGGGCGCTATCTACTTAAAACTTTGTTTGACGTCCTAAGTCACTAGCGGCAGTAGCTGTATCTGGGTACAAAGACACCAGTTTCATTTTTACAAAGAGAAGGAAATATGCATATATTTTTCATTCATAATTTGTCTAAAATCTCATTTTGTTAAAAAGTCGTGAGAAAATCCTGTCGTGGACCCAGTATTGTGAATTGTATCAAAGTGGGAGTGCATCATTATATCCCTACTTGATTCTGTGAAAAGAGATAGCCGGTGATGGTCAGAGGCTTTTTTTTTATTTTTTAATAAAGTTAAAATTGTGTTTTTTAGCACGTATGACACGTTTTCCAACATAAAGAACTTTTAAAACTATATTTTGACATAATTATATGACTATTACTGTACTGCAAATAAGTGCATATTTAATGGGACATTGCCTAATTTGCATAATTTAATGATAAGAAAGTACAAAGTAATTTGCAAGAAAGTCTTGTATTTTGGTCTCTATCTATCTAAATTTTCATCCTGTTCCCGGGTGGTGCCTGGCCTTTAATTTTTTCTACCATCTAATTACAGTACATCATTCAAGTCTTTGTATTGTACTGCTGGGTAAGACAGGTATATCTGATCTATGTGAATTATTGGCCATTCATTTTGAAATAATTTGTCCTTGAAAGTGTTTGAAAAGTCCTTGAAATGTATCATTGCAAAAAAAGTGTTCACAGACTGAACTCAAATCCACTGAACTTAACACTTAAATATGTTTAAAACTGTGGCCTCACAACTTTATATAGACTTCATAAATACATGCACTCAGATGGAAACTCTGGCTGTGTGTATGTGTGTGTAGATGGCCGGGCTCTTGCTGTGGGGGGAATGGGTGCTGACCTGCTGCCTCGTAGCATCCTGCAGCAGTACGACCTTCGAAAGGACGTGTGGGCGCTACTTCCTCCCATGCCGACCCCACGCTACGATGCCAACACACATCTGCTGGCCAACAAGCTCTACGTGGCAGGTACAAGCACACCAGTGTGGGTGTGTTTATACAACAGTTTCACTTTGTGTGTTAAACATCAAAAAAAAAATCTCGCAATTTCAATACCATGTATAACCGTCTACAGAGTAAAAGGATGAATGTTAGTATTCTTTTTATACAATCTTCCAGGTGGTCGGCAGTGTAAGCGACCAGTTAAGGCCTTCGAGGTGTACGACGCAGAGACACGTTCTTGGACTACACTGCCCATGATGCCTTGTAAACGTTCGTATTGGGGCGTGTTATGGGACACAAGTGCACGGTTGTGTCTGCTCGGAGGACTGCGGCAGGGAGGAGGACACCAGAGCTCCAAGTTCACCAAGAATGTCAACATTTTTGACACCAACCAAGGTACGGAAACACATTTTCTTCATCTAGCACATGGAGTTAAAGCACAGACAAAGTTTCGACCCTGCCACTCCTCCCCTGTTGAGCCTTAATTCTTGAATTAGAACACATACACATGCGCACACAGCACAGTATGTGTCAAAGGGGTCGTTCAAACCCTCTGAAATCTCCATGGATGTCAAATATGTCAGGATTAATTGCACAGAAATGTTTATAAAGCGATCCAGTTGGAACTGCACATACAAAAAGTGCCATCTTGACTTGATTTGATGATTTTTTTTATAAGCAGGATGTGACTTCAGTGAAAAGTTGGAATAAGGACAACATTTAAAGCTGCTTTTTATGCAGCTCTGTATCCAAAACTATAGATGATTGGTTTTGTTGGCTTATTGGAAAGGTGTAGCTTGTGTTGTCTTGATGGTTTTAAAGGAATGGTTCTACATTTTTAACTTTATTATCGGGTTTATTAGTACAAAACATAGTCTTGGTTAGCTTAGCTTAGTTTAGCATATAGAGTGGAGACAGGGAGAGAGCTGGTCAAAGTTCAAAAATATGACTTGCAGCACTTCTTAAGTCGTCTTATTTGCATGTTTCTTGATTGTTAAAGCTCTACACAAGCAAAAACATTTAAAAATTACAATTTGTATTGATGAACAACTTATTAATTGGCACAGTGCCGGTTTCCACATATAATCAGAACAGTACGTTACAGGGCAACTTGATTTTACACATTATAGTCTGTTTAAATGTCACTAAAGTCAGTGGCGGTTGGGGCTGAAGACACTGCTGACCTCCTCATCTATGATATAGGCTAGAAGCTTAAGGCTCCATTAGCAGCATTACACACCCGAATCTCTGATCAAAGTATCGTTGGTCCAGTTGCTTTGTGGGTAATGTAGGAGCCAGGTTCTGATAAGGAAGAAGAATGTGTGGAATTATTAGTTTGATGCTTTTTTTAAACTGTTTATTGTGAGTCAGACAGAATGTACCTAAATTGTTGGAGTGTTTGTTTAAGCAGTCAGATTTACAGCTAGTTAGCAAGGCAAGCTATATAATTATTTTTTTTATATAATATTTTATATATATAATATATATTTTTAATTATATAATTTCCCTCTGGGATTATTAAAGTATTTCTGAATCTGAAGCTGCTTCCAGTTTTTATGCTAAGCTAGGCTAAAATACCTCCTGACTTCAGCTCCATACTTAATGCTCAGGCACAAGATATATATCAATCTCATACTCATAAATAATAATATGCATATTTCCTCAAACTATTCCTTTAACATTTTTTAATAAAAAATAATCAAATATAAAATACCTGTCTGTCATGTCTGCAATTCAAAAATAAAAGTAATTGTGTTAGAGTTGGTTAGCTGAGATTTTCATCTCATGGGTTACATTTTATTTTTTGCAAATGTCTCATCATCTTTTTTTCCTCTGTCAGCATCTATCTTCATTTTGACTTAACTGTCATACAAAGCATCCATTAACATCCACCTCACCATGAATAGAAATGGTCTTCCACTCAAACAGGCTCATTCCTCTCTTAATTCTGTGCACACTCCGTGTCCAACAACCCGCTGAAATGACTTATCCCTCCATCCAGCAAAGACACCCCAGAGTAGCAGGTGAACAAATTGAGGAGGGACCGGAAGGAGAAATGGGAGAGCAAAAATCGATAAGTCATTTCAGACAGCTGGATATACGGTCACACGTCGGGATTGGTGGAATGAAAGCCAAATAAAGCAGAGCATGGGAGTGATAATGCTAATGTATGATAATGGAGAGAAAGTTTGCCTTGTGTGTGAGAGATAGAGGAAGAAAAAAGGAAAGGAAATGCCTTCCAACACACACAAACCCAAACGTTCACGTGCATATACTGATGCATATCCACACGCTCATGCACACACATACTGGGAAGGCAGCCGTACCCCGTTCCTCCAATCTAATTTTGGTGGAGATGAGATGGGAGATGAGCTGCGGAGGGAGGGCTGGGAATGAGGAGTGCTTTAAATTACAAGATCCAGAAACAGATTGCTTTATTATCCATCTGCAGCAATATCGCTCCACACACACACACGGTCATGCAATCTGCTGTCACACAGTGATATTCTATTACTGCTCCATTCCATATCGCCAGTATTAAGACACACGCCTGTTAGGTGTTGCTTTGGCATTGTAGGCAAGCTGCAACAAGTACGACCGAAAACACAAAGAGTGAAGAAAATGAAAACCCTAAAGAGTCAGTTACTAAAAAGAATATGTTCTCAGCTTCCTCTAGTGGTATCCAGCCATGCAGATAGTTTTGGATTAATTTGCCCAGAAAATGAGGCCAGTGAAATTCACAACACAATGAAGGTTTCAGTGCTGTGAGCAACACAAACAAAATTTCATTCACCTCCATCATATTGTGGCGGAGGCAGAAATCTCAGACGGATATCTCAAAAGTGGGACAAATAAAAACAGAACTATCTATATGGCTGGAACCTGCCGGTTTCCACCACAGCAACTTTTCCAGGAGCCCTAGAACTATTTTAAGAACACAGAACCCTTCCATGCATCACGATTGAAAGAATCAGGATCTGAATTCAGTTCCTCCACTGCAGTCGTTCTCTACCTTTTTAATGTCAAAGACCCCCAAACTGATACACATCAGGCTGTGTATTTTATAGGATGTAGTCTCAGGGATCCCCATCTGAAAAATTTAGTTATTCCAAGTGTGTGAAAGAGAATAATCATTCTTATACATACTTGCATTGGGCTAACTTCTTGTCAGTGAAATAATAGTGAAATAAAATGTTGACCATTTTCCCTAGAACCCCAGGACCTCTGGGAGTCCCCGGATCCCAGTTTGAGAACAGAGAGCAGTGAGCAAGCACTGGGTGCCACTACTATCAATATTATGATGAAGGACAGACATTTCTTGTAACGTTTGTTGACATGAAAAAATTGAAAAAAAGCAAGATAACCAGAGAGAGCTAGAGATTGGAGTCTTGTTTGAGAGAACAAGAGAGTTAAAAAGAGAGCAACAGTTAATTTGCTATTTGATTCAGTTTGGTTACATAACACACTAACACTAACTTAGTACTAAGTAGGACGTTTCCTAAGAATATATTGAAGAAAATGCCTAACATAATAATTAGCAATGCTAGATAAGTCAGTAGATTATTAATGTACTAAATTATCCTATATTCACTTTTAGCTCTTTAAAGGAGACCTGATACTGTATAATAATGTAGTTTTTTCATCTTTACTACAAAGGCCACAGTGCTTTACTACCTTATCCATGATTGATAATAATCAACTCTACTGTCTTTTTCGGAGAATATGAACTTTAAATGCACAGTAATACCTGCAGTCTTCCTCTCAGGCTGCATACATCCCCAATAGCTTCCGCCAATAAGATAGGGCACCCTCTACATTGCCCGAGAGAAAAAAATTGGGGCAAAAACATGCACAAATTACTCACTTCTCATAAATGTTAATTGCTGGGCGCATGGTAATAACTGAAGGCAACTCAGATGTGTGTGTATTTTTATCAACTCCTGTATCCTCTCACTGGAATGTAGAAATTACCCCCTTGCCTACTAAGGCAGAAATAGTATCCATGTGTGAAAATTGTATCTCAGGGCATTTGTTTTTTAATCTGTTGTTGGACTAATTAGCCTCTTCTTCGTGGTTTTTCAGATGCTATGAGAATTCAAACAGAAATGTACAAAAATTCATCTTAATTCCTGATTTGTGGATCCTTAGAAGGGACAAGCATTTATAAGATTTTACTTTCTTTACTTCTTTGTCAATTCCTGATCAATTTTGTTGATCAGGTTTTCAGAGTCAACACTATGGTTTTATTAGTTTCTTTGTGAAATGAGGCCACGCTTTGGACCATTCCCAGCTTGCTGGCATTGATAAAATGAATTGATGGTGGCAACAAGTTCTCAACTGGAACCAGTTCTCGATTCCCACTCCTACTCCTAAGTGCCTAGAACTATTTGGCCAAGAATATTTATATAGAATATAGAATAGTTTTGTTATTTGGGTGAACCGAACCCTTTACCGACATAACTTAAAATTATGCATTCTCCAGGTTTTGCTCCATCCAACAAAGAAGCCTCAGTGAAGCATGTAGAACAACAATAACAAAAACATTAATGACGCAGCCCCCCTGGGGCTAACTAGTAACAAATGTAAATGTGTTGTCTATATTTGATTTATGTCCTGCTTGATTGTAAAAGCAGGTAAAATGACAATTAGTGCAAATGCGGTCTTGTTTTAGCCGTTAATGTGGGCGATATGTAGTTATTATAAAATGTCACAACATAATGGCGAGATTCTGTCCAAAGGGATCACCTGTGTGGTCAGCAGTGTCTGACAGACAGATAGAATCCATCAAAAGACCGAGAACCAATCACTATGCTTTTCTAGTTTTAATCACGATGGACAATTACAGAGGGGAGCTGTGGACGAAATTACTCCCACACAGACTACAAAGCCCAGTCTTCAGAGAATCGCCTCATCGCTCTCATTCTATTGTCACTCTCTGTCTATATTCTCCCTCTCTGAATTTTCTCTCTCTCCATCTCTTTATTCTCCTCTGCCATCTCCCTCCAGAGTAGAATAATGCATGCTGGTGTTTTCCTTGCATCCTACAAAGAAAATCTTGGCACGAAGACTCGCGTTATCCCTCCAAAGCAAACAGGAATAAAGTCTGCAGTCGAAACTCAGAGTCTCAGAGGATTGGACCATAAGGCTGTAGCGTGATGTGTTGACGCAACTGTAATTTAAAGAGGAAAATCCAGGCTGTAACACCATAAGCACTGTTTAAAAAAGCTTTGTTGTAATGTGCATTCTGCAACCACTTTACTGATGTTGTATTTTATTTTCCATTTGTTGATAAATAAATAAAAATGATGATATCACAATATCCAGTACAAAGTAAAATATAAGAAAGAATATAATGGTGGTTTCTGAATCAAAGTGCAGGAAAGTTTTTAAATTCATACAGTCATGAACAGTAGCCTCAACTAAACAAAATGCAGTGCAACCACAGGATGTGTTCTTGTCAAGGGGTTCAGTTTGATCTTTTTAAAGGTGCAGTGTGTAGGATTTAGTGGCATCAAACGGTGTACTTGCAGATCGCAACTCCCTCACTACACCCTCCCCTTCCAAGCTTGAAGGAGAAACTACGATGAAAGGAACGTAAACAATAAGTAAAAGATCATTCAAATAAAGTAAACCAACATATACAGTTTTGTTGATACATACGTATATACGTCACATATACACCCAGGCAATGATTCTGCAGTGCATCTTTTGAATTTACATCTGGGGGAATGTAAACAGCAGCAACCAGATAGTGATGATAATATGGTTTCATCTCCACATAAAAAGAAGCACCTAGCATCATCGATGTAAACAGAGTCCTACTCTCGTCCTGAGCTCTGTCGGCTCGCAACACAGTCCCCCCATCTAATGCTTGATCCGGGATGTTGATGGATCAGGTCTCTGTAAAGATGTGGGCACAACAGTCTCTGGTTTCCCATTGATTGGCCAGCCTGAGTCCCATTTCATCCAAACCGGACATTAGCCAGGAGCAGCCTTAAGTCCAAGCTGGACCAGCATGGCTCCTTTCCGACTCTCTTCCGTCCTCTCCTGGAGCGACAGCACCCGCTGTGGTGGGCTGGTCTAAGGCTCTAACAGTTATTAAGAACTCAAATTGGACTTACCACCCAGCTTTAGTGATGGCAGGTGCACTCTGATCCAGGGGAGTTGGCTCGGCGTTTGTTGAAAGGCATTCTAGGAAATGTAGTGAAGTAGACGAGGCAGGTTAGAAAAGTTCAATTACAATTATTAACCAGGTTGGGCTCATTTCAAATGTTTCTATACTAGGGATGTGCATCTCCATCACTGAGGCCAATGTTTATGCGTATCTCAATGTATTGCCAGCGACCTGATTATGATCTACCCATCTGTAGTATGATGTTATGTAGTTCAACATGGTACAGATAGTTTAATTTAATTTGATATATTTGGTTCTTCTTAAAGCTGCAGTAGGTACATTTTATTAAAAAATATATATGTTTTTGTCTTATTTGCTCATTGGTTGTTTTTGTTCAAACCCAGTGGATTCTTGCAAATGCCATTAGGAGCACTAGGAGGAGCCAGAGGAACCTGATTTCTTCTCAGATTATCTGT